CTCTGCCGCGGCAGCACTGCCGGCTGCTATCAAAGCAGATGTGCTGCTGCTCCTCCTCCTCTTTCACCTCCTTTCACCCCCACCCCCCGCCTTTCGGGGACCGTCACGCCCTGGAGTGAGTGCAGCCGGCTTGTTCCTCAAAGCTCCTTGTCTCCGCCGATCAGCTGGGTGAGCCCTGGAACTGGAACCTGGACTGCCCAGTGTGTTGACTTTACAACTCCGCTGGGGTGGACTCGCAGCCTGGCACTTAGCTGCCTCTTAATTCTGAGCGGCACCCGTGGATGCAGCCGGCTGCTGGCTCGGGGATGTTTACTTACCCTTGCTTTGCCTGAAGAGAGCTGCTGTTTTTAAATTTTTTTCCTCCAAGCAAGCCCAGAACTTCCATGAGCAAAAGAGTCAGAAGAGGGGAGAGGACACTGGCGTTTTAATTGCTCTCGCCCTCCCTAACCTCCTCCTTCCCTCTCCTCCTGGCTGGCCCCATGGATTACCTGGGAGATAAACTCACAGTGGCTCAGACCCACATGACCCAGTGGATGGGCACCGTGAGGAGGTCCTTCCAGGAAGCCCTCAATTTGGTGACCACCACGGTGGGCCATGAACGGACGAGTGCAGAGTCGGGCAGCCGGACCCCCTTCAAGCGTACCTCTTCCTTCCGACACCTGGCTTCCCGGAGTCGGGAATCCTTCCGCCGCTTCTCTGCTCGCAGCCAACAGAGATTTTCTTCACTGAGGAAAAGGCACACAGATTCGGAGCCGCCAGATATTGTAAGCTTATTATGTTTTAAAAAATATTAAAACAACACTGAAAGCTCCTCCCCTCCAGTCCTCCCAGGGAGGGGGTCTCAGACATCAAACCCGGGAAGTTACTGCTCCCAGAATAGTTGTCAGTCAAAGCCCAGGCACTTCCTGTCGCCTGTACCTGGGAAAGAGGCACGTAGCAATAATTCCTCTCTCTCCCGAAGTCGGTCAGGAAATTTTTGCTGGATTCGACGTCTGTGTGGACAGGGCCAGCGCATGAGTTTGGCTGAATTTGCCGGTTGATTTATGTTTAAGTGTGAACACCCCAGCTCCGGACACGAAAGCTCATCCTTCCCCCTATTTTTAGGGTGGATTAGTGGCACCTGCCTCATCTCCTCTCACCCTCCTAGGAAGCACAAGTGGCCATGTCATGTGCACGCTGAGTTGTAGTTTTTGTCGTTCTACCGAGCTTTCGTTGAATTGCCGAGGAAAGGGCCTTAGGAGACTGAGATGGTGGGCGAATTTGCCCGCTGGCCGTGAACCTGGGGCTTGGTGTGAGTGGGCCAGGGCGGCAGGCCTTTATTTCTTACTCAGGCAGACTCAGGAGGGCTTGGATTGGGACAGCAGGGTGGAATGACAGCTAATGATGAAAACCTCGGCCTGTGTCCTGCTGGGGGACAGTGCAGAAACAATCATAAGGTCCTTATGGTGATTTGGAGAGGTGGGATTGGGCCCAGAGAGTGAAAGTACCTACCATGGGGAAGCACAGTGAGCGAGTGGCAGAGCCAGGTCTGGAACCCCAGGCTCTGACCTCCCCATTCACGGCTCTTTCCAGTCCAGCTCCCGGCAGATGTTCTCCCCAGACCCTCCCGATTATTTCAGGGCTGCCCACATCACTGACCAAGCGTGAGCCTAAAGAGAGGGCCTGCCATTTTCACATAGGAGACTTCTACCACCTGACTGTGTTGGCCCAGTTTGTGGGAGCACCTGAGGACAGGCGAAGGGCTAAGCCAGCCCCTTTTTCTGGGTTCCTCCTAGCCAGGAGTGCTGTAGTCATTAAGAGACTCAGCATTTAGGGAGGAGCCCTGAGCTGGCCCTCCTTTCACTCGAGGTGGCAGGGCTCACAGCTGCCCTGCCAGGTGCAGGGGCTCAGTATCCCCTCTGCTGGCCCAGAGGTGTGGTGACTCACCCCAGGCCATACAGCAGCTGGAGCAGGCAAGTGCAAATGCAAGGCAGGAGCCGAGCACTTGGGCATGACATGTGTCTCGTTCACAGGACGTCTCCTTCACAGTGGGTCTGTGCTCCTTTGTGGCCTTGGACAAATTAGTGGGGCTTAAATTTACGAGACAGATTCCCCAACCTCTGAAAGTTGTGACTTGGCACAGGGAAAAAAGGCCCCTCATTCATTCTGTCTCCCTCTGTGTGTATCTCTGCCTCTGTGATGTGTCTCTCTGCCTTGCTCTGTCTCTGTTGGTTTCTCTGTAAGTCCTGTTCTCTCTCAGGGTAGGGGGTTGGTGACAGGCAGGCTCTGTTGGTATCCCTCTTTCCCCACCCTGGGGAGTGGTGTGACCATGGGCATTGGCCTGAATCCCCTAGGCCTCTTCCTGTGTTACAGGTTGGTGCCACCGGAGCAGCTGCCTCTCCAGCTGGTTGAATAAATGAAGTTGGGTGGTGCAGAGCCATTCCCTGTTGCATTGGGATGCCACCAAGAGTGTAAATACATGCTAAATACATTCAAGCTTCAGGCTCCTTCCCATGTAGCCACACTACTGTGTGGCAGGCACCAGCTGGCCTTGGCCTTGACAGCTTGAATCAGACTCCTGGCTGAGGAGCCCTGACCCATTCTTAAGCCTCAGTTTCTTCCTGTGTCCAATGAGGAGAACCAAGTGCTAGGTATGAGATTGAAGCAAGCCCCGGGCACAGTGCCAGGCACACAGTAGCTGCACACTTGTGAGTGCCCTCTCTCTGTTGCTTGCCTAGACACTCTGCCTGAGCAGGATAAAGGCAGAGTTGGGATAGGAACACGTGCAGTCTTGAAGAGAAGTCAACGAAACGCAAGGCCAGGGACCCCCTGCCTGGGGTTGAGTCCTGGCTGTGCCGCGTCCCAGCTGTGTGACCTTGGGCAGACTCCTTCCCTCTCTGTGCCTTGATTTCCTCCTCTGTGAAATGGGGATGATCGTGCATTGATGTGCTGGTAAATGCGTGGTGGGCGTGGCTGTTCTTAGCTTGTGGTGCTTAAAAATTAGTTCTTGCAGCAATCAAACCTTTCCTCTCAAACCGTCCCTTCAAAGATTTTCAATGAGGTGAAAAACCCACATACGCCCTTTTTACTCAGGGACTTCACTTAAATATTCATTTTATGGGAAGAAACTTTTTAAAGCCACAGACAATGACTTAAGAGTTTGGGACAACAGCAGTATCCGTGGCTGGGGCTGGGAGGGGGCAGGATTTTAGTCTTTCCGACCTTGTACGTGATTTATCTCAATAATCCATTCATTTCATCCTGGTTCCTGCCTCCGGCTTGTATTTACTCAGAGCAGTGTGGAAGAATCTACTGCGGGCATAAAACAACCCTCAAAGGCGTGCCCTGAAATGTTTTCTAAAGCCAGCCTTGAAGTAATTTGCTAATGGCCTGCCTGCCTCTGTGTCCAAGGGATAAAAGGGGGAAAGAGGGAAAACAAATGCTTTGTCTCTGAGCCACAAAGGCAGGAAGAGGCACGTTTGTGCTGCAGTCCCGTGTGAGCCTGAGAAACATGCCTGGTACGCCAGGTTTAGCTGAGGAGACAAGGTGGACTCCAGTTAGAGGCCAGACAGAAAATTCCAGAACCCAGGAACAATGGCAATGGCACAGGGGCCAAGACTGCAATAAAAGTGGGAGGTGGGGGGATGTCTGAGGCCACGGGGTGCCGCCCCAAGAGGGCTTTGGAGTCAGACAGACTTGGGCCTGAGTCTCAACTCACCACCACGTGCAAACTGAGTGACCCTGGGCAACTTAAATCACCTCTTTCAGCCTCAGTGCCCTCATCTGAAACATGGAGATTCAGCCGGGACTTGTCTGGTGGGTGGTTCAATGGGACAGAGTAGACTAAGAGCCAGCACAGTCCTGGCATGCAGGAGGTGCTGAATAAATGTTCTTTCCACGTTGCCTTTTGGGGGACTCAGACTGTAACGTGAGTCCCACCTTCCTAGAAGGCTAGACTGGTGCCTTAGGGAAGCAGAGTAAGAACCTAATCGACCTGTATTTGTATTTACTGTGTGCAGGGCTTCATGCTAAGCATCAGGTGCATATAATTTGTGTGTCTTCATTAATTCACTCATTTTTTTCTTTCAACTAGTATTTTTATTTATTTATTTATTTATTTAGAGACAGAACCTCAGTTTGTCACCCAGGCTGGAGTGCAGTGGCACAATCTCGGCTCACTGCAACCTCTGCCTCCCAGGTTCAAGTGATTCTCCTGCCTCAGCCTCCCCAGTAGCTGGGATTACAGGCGCCCACCACCACACCGGCTAATTTTTGTATTTTTGGTAGAGACAGGGTTTCACCATGATGACCAGGCTGGTCTCCAACTCCTGACCTCAAGTGATCTGCCTGCTTCAGCCTCCTAAAGTGCTAGGATTACAGGCGTGAGCCACTGCGCCCAGCCTATTTTTATTTATTTATTTTGAAGACAAGGTCTTGCCCTGTCACTGGGGCTGGAGTGCAGTGGCATGATCCTAGCTCACCACAGCCTCTATCCCCTGGGTTCAAGCCATCCTTTTGTCTCTGGAGTAGCTGGGACTACAGGTTTGTGCCACCACACCCAGCCATTTTTTTTCTTCTGTGTAGCAACAGGATCCTGCTCTGTCGCCCAGGCTGGTCTTGAGCTCCTGGCCTCAAGTGATCCTCCCACCTCAGCCTCCCAAAGTGCAGGGATTGCAAGCATGAGCCACTGTACCCCGCCCCCTCCACCAGTATGTATGTATGTATATATGTATGCATGTATGTATGTACTCTGTTGCCTGGGCCGGAGTGCAGTGGTGTAGTTTTGGCTCACCGCAACCTCCGCCTCCCCGGTTCAAGCAATTCTTCTGCCTCAGCCTTCTGAGTAGCTGGGACTACAGGCACCCACCACCACGCCCGGCTAATTTTTGTATTTTCAGTAGAGACAGAGTTTCACCGTGCTGCCCAGGCTGGTCTCAAACTCCGGCCTCAGGTGATGCACGCACCTCGGCCTCCCAAACTGCTGGGATTACAGGTGTGAGCCACCACACCTGGCCCCCTCCACCAGTATTTACTGAGTACCTACCACAACCCTGGTGCAGGAGAAATAGCTGTGAGCGAAAGAGACAAAACTCCTGCCTTCACAGAGCTGTCTTCTAGTGAGGCTGATAACAAAACACATCAGAATGTAAATGTGTCATATATGGGCTGCAAATGAGGGAACTACCTTAAAATATCAAGGGTCTGTCTGTAACCTCAAACTATTGCTGTATATCAGAGTTTCTCAGCCTCAGCTCTAATGATATCTTGGGCTACATAATTCTTTATGGCTGTGGGGGTAAGGGGTAGAGTCTGTGCATTGTAAGCTTTTCCCTGGGTTCCTACCCACTAGAAGCCAGTAGCATCCCACAGTTGTGACAACCAAAAATATCTCCAGGCATTGCCAAGTCCCTTCGGGGCAGAATCACAATGCCCCTCCCAGCCCCCATCCAGGTTTGAGAACACTGCTGTATATAATGTGGTGTGGGGCACAACAATTGTAGCTGGGGTATTCTCCCAATGACTTAAATATGGGGAGGAGGGCAGGGATCCCACATCCACTGAGCCTCTCCTACTTGCCGGGAACCACACAGCTGCCCCTATGGGTATAGCACCATACTTTGCGAATGGAGAAATTTGAAGCACAGAGGGGTGAAGTCACAGGCCTGGGGCCACACAGCTGGGGATCTGTGAAGTGGGGACTCCATCCAGCATGTGTTGGCCTTGCTGGGAGCATGACCACGCCCTGCACTGGGGATTCACTATTAAACGTCGGCCCCAGAGCTGAGCATTCAGTCCTCCAGCCCAAGGCTGAGTGGGAGTATTTGCTTCTGTGTTAATTATGGACTGGAATGGAGGCTTAAAATATTCAGCAGGGCTCAGCATCTCCCCCCACCAAACACACACACACACACACACACACACACACACACACA